TTTTTTTTAAGGGTCCTTAGTTTTACCGCTCTTTTAACATCATGGCTTGTCTACTCCACAAAGAATGCACGGACGTGGTAATCACATGCCCTATGCATCTCATATGATGTGCAGGACGAGAAAAGCGATAAAGAAAATTATAAAACAAAAACTGTTTATTAAGAAATAGGAAACGTCCAAAATGAATGTTTAAAATGTAAGTTAAATTAGATTAAAATTAACGTCATCAGTGACATGTCGGAATGTTGTAAAATGGCTGACCAATCTGACCAGTTCCTTCCTGATGTCTTTATTGCAAGCCAGTGTCCGTGTCCTTGGGAATAGTTCCTACAGTGATGTTTCCAGGACATTATTTCTTAGCCTGTCTCTTTTTAGTTTGGCTAAAATGGTAACTTTCAGAATGGCTATTTTTAGGATTCCTTTGCTTAATAACTTCCAACTGTCTGCACGAATCAGATAATGGTCTGACCTTTGTGTTGGCCATAGTAAAACATCAATTCTATTTGTCTCCTGCCATGTTTTCCCTAGATTTGAAGTATTCTTAAGATCACATACCTACAAGAAGGCCCATCAAATATTCAAATTCTCTTTCCAGAACCCTTAAGGCTGTGGTTCAGCATATCAATAAATTGCTCCTTTTTCATAATGGCATCAAATTTAACTGTATTTTTAGTGCCACGTCTGTCCCTTAAGTTATTTTGATTTATTTTATTTTTTATTTTTATTTTCCTATTTTGATTTAGTTTGACTTCGTTTAAAGTGTTGTTTACCTATTTTTCAACTATTTTAATTTAAGTTTGACTGCCGGTTTTATTTTATTTTTCTGGCCTGAGGCTTTGCCGAAAAGGTTTCGTCCGGGGAGGTAGACAGGGCCTGAACCCGTCTAACCAGTTTTGGCCTTGTTTTTTTTTGAAAATTCGAATTTGGTTTTAATTCGGACATTTAGTTTAGATTTTTGCGTCATTGACTATTTATTATCTCAACGTCTTTATTTGAAATACAAGCCTCCACTGTGAAAAAAAACATTCATACCAGTTTTTGGAATTTGCATTTTTTATAGTTTACTTTTATTTATTATCTCCTTTATTTGAAAAAAACTTATGGAACATTTTTGGGTCACGAAGGTGACTGATGGAAGACACGATGTCTGGGAACAGGACTCACAAGCAGGGGAACCCAGTCATGGGTGTCAGACAATTTCTGCGATCACATCAACCCTTACAGCTGGCCACCTAACTCCCAAGACTGCAACCTTCTTGATTATTATGTGTAGAGCGCAGTTGAGCGAGAGACCAACAAAACTCCTTGTAACACCAAAGATGAACTGAAGACAAGGATTATGGTAGGGTTCGGCAACTTAAACGAGGAGACCGTCCAGAAATGTTGCAGGAGATTCTGAATTTAATAGCGATGTTATTAAATAAATTTACTTTTTAGTATTTCAAGATATTTTGTGTAATTTTGGTAAAAATGTGTGAAAAATGATGCCAGTGTTATTTTCTACTCTTTTACCTTCTATTATTAAATCAGTTGTCTTGCGACAATTTGCTTATCGACTATAACCTTTTGGAGAACGCATACAAAGAAACTTTATTTTCGACCAAAAAATGTCTGTTTATTTGATTTATTTTGCTTTATTCGTTTATTCATTTTTTTTAAATTTAATTTTTGAATCTATATTTTTTTTTATTTCTGCTTAATTGGGAGGGGATTTTTCTTTTTCACTCCATTTTTATTTCAGTGTGACTTTCGGCTTTAGCCGTCATCTTTGTTTATATTTTTTCTGGTTTGATTATGTCATACCAGACAACTGTTTTCCTTTTAATATTTTTGCGTTTAATTTATAGTTTAAATTTATTTATTATCTCTTTTATTTGAAAATAACTTATGGAACCTTTCGGGGTTAAGAAAGTGGTTGCTGAAGGATACTATGTCTGGCAACAAATTTAACTACATCTTCAGGGATATTTATAGCTTGTACAGAACTGTATTTTTGGCCCCCAAACTATCCGTTATTTTATTTATTTTATTTTGCTTGTTTATTTTTAGGTCTGGATTTTTCTTTTTCAACACAATTTTTCTTTCAGTTTGACTGTCGGTTTAGTCGTTAATTTTGTTTTTATTTTTCTGGTTTGATTATGTCATACCAGACTACAGTTATTTTGTTTTAAATCATTTGGGTTTAAATTACATTTTACGTTTATTTATTATCTCCTTTATTTCAAAATAACTGATGGAACCATTTGGAACGCAGATCATTTTTTGTTAATTGGTTTTGACTTTTTGAATATTTAATTTTCTTGTCAGTCGTTAAATCTTTTCAGTTTTCTACGGTTTTCACCGAATTTCATTATATTTCTCTGTGTGAACTGCTAGTTTTTCCATATTTTATTTTTGTTTATTTTTTAAGTTTATTGATTTTTTTATATTTTTAACGCTTTATATTTCTCGTCTTTTGGCCAATTTTTTAAATTTTTTCGCTAAACTTTATTTTCGGCGAGGTTTAATTTTTTATTTGTGAGTTTCGCCGAGGATTTTTTTTCGGGGAAATTAAATTTCTTTTTCTTCGTTGGGTGATTATTATTTTACATCGTTTTATTTCATTATTTTAAGTAATTTCTTTCCAATTTATTGTCATTTAACAAATATTCTTTACCTTTTTTTATTTAAGTCGAACAGTTTTTTTTTTGTTTTTTTTTGTAAGCTCCGGACTTCAGGTGATTGGAATGCCAAACTTAACCCTTTCTTTCGTTCACTGGAGTTGACTGTTCTAGTTCCAATTTCGAATTTTATCTTGCGGAATATACTTTTACTTTCTATTCCATTTTTGTGTTGTTTATTTGGTTTTATTGTAATCTTTTCGTCGGAGAATAAACTATTTTCAATTTTTCATTTTATTTTCGATGAAGTTTATTTTTTTAATTCCAACTTTCACCGTAATTTTTTTTCGGCGAAATTTAATTTCTTTTTCGGCGTTGGGTGATTATTAATTTGCATCATTTTATTTCATTATTTCAAGAAAATTGTCGTTTTACAAATTTTATTAAACGTTTTTATTTAAATCGAAGAGACGTTTTTGTACACTCCGGCCTTCTTCAGGTCATTGGAATGTCAAACTTAACTTTTTCTTTCGTTCACTGGAGTTGACTGTTCTAGTTCCAATTTCGAATTTTATCTTGCGGAATATACTTTTACTTTCTATTCAATTTTTGTGTTGTTTATTTGGTTTTATTTTTATCTACTCTTTGTAGAAGAAATTATTTTGAATTATTCATTTTTGTTGATGTTTACTTTCCCCTCCCACCTCCAATCCATTTAGACAAATGGACTCACGCAATACATACATATAAAACTGCTACGTGAAGACTCGAGAGACGAGAGCAACCGAGTTTGAAGGAGACAAACAGACAGACAGAACGAACGTAGCGAGCCAGAGTCACCGTGAGCGAGCACGTAGACTCAGTAAGAAGTCATACAGTGATACTTCAATACCAAAGACTGTATAGATATTTTGCTACTAATCCCTATTCTTGAAACTACTAACCTGCTTTACCAGTTTGTATTATTACGTTAATGCATTATTTTCCTATATTCAATCTTGGCGTTATGCTATTTATTGATACCGGATTTCATCCCGGCATCCACAACAGAAATTATAATTTATTTTCAAGAAAATATTTCCTGCTTGGCTATTGGATATTATAATTAGCAATATGGCCAGCATAAGTGAGTCAAAAAAGGGCCTTTTCTGTTCTGCTTTTAACCCAAATCTCCCAAATTAAGTATCAAACTGAAGATATCAAAATTATTGACGACAAAAACAATGAAGACGAGGAAGTCAAGCGGGTCACCGTAGAGTATGACAGTCGAGGAATCTCCCTCGGGCTGGAAGTCTACCCCAAAGATGTATTATTAACATCGCGTAGTTTTTGGAAAGGGCTAAAAGTTACGAATATAAAAGAAGATGGATTTATTGAAGACCCCAGGAATTACAGAAATTCGAAAAGTAAATGGTGTCAGTCTTCGTGGTGGACAAGCGTATGCGCAAAATTTGTCGTTGCACGAAAGACACAGTGATTCGATCTCTGGGGTCGGGGATCAAACCCAAAAGAGTCAGAAAAGATACAGGGTTTTTTATGTGGACGTGCTGCTGCCCACAGCCTAAGATTGTCTAGAGCAAAGTGTTAATAAGTACAAACCTCATTCGAACTAACTTATGAGTGTCGGTGCAGATCAGTAGCAGTAATCGAGGTCGCTGCTCGGTATTAGGTGTTCACCTAGCTGCCTACCTCAGTCACTACATCCAAATCCTAGGTTCGTTATGAACGGGGAATGGAGTTTCGATATTATGCTCGATCGTTTAGCCTTCGTCTCTGTCCTCAACTGTTTGGAAGTTTACGGCCGGAAAATGCTGGTCATCGTGACCGACAGAAGACCATCTTCTTGGAAGTGTGGAGAGACTGGTCACCTCTCCTTTTCCTGTCGAAAGAATAAGGCTTCTGGACTTCCAGCCACAGGCGACCACTTGGTCCGAGATAGTTCGTTCTGCGCCACCTGTAATTGGCCTACCAGCGACATGGACTGGTGCGGACAAACCGTCGATTGGGTCCTGTCCCACATTCCACCCAAAACCGACGCCTTCCGCAAATGCGATTAACGAACAGGAAGAAGGGGAGTGGTGTGTCGTTAGTAAGTGGAGAGGGAACAGCAAAACAGCGACGCATTAGTTCCCTGAAGCTCTCCGGGACAAAAAAAAACATCACTGCCCAATTCCCTCAACCAGCTGTAAGCGCAACGCCACGGTGTCGTATGCAACTGCATCAGATCTAGAAATTAAACGTAACTAGCTTGCTGGAAAAAAATGAAAAAAAAATAAAAGAAATCTTGAAGCTAAGCGGGTTAAAAAAAAACAACCAAAGCTCTCATCCTCTGCTCTGTCTTCTCCTTCATCAAAAAAGATCATGGTCCCATTCCCCAATGACTTGATCGTTGAAGCTTAC